CGTCCATTATTAGTAATTTAGTACTAATTTCTTATTTTCAAATACACTGGGATAATATTATAAACGATTATAGATACGGACAATAAAAATAATACTCTTGAGGTTGAGCTGACCTAGATGACCTTGAAGACCCCCAATTTTTCTGAAATGGCGTCCAAAATTCCAATGTCAGATCATAATATATTGGTGTGACTAAACTTGATTACCTCGTATATTACATTAAAAAAAAAAGTACTCTCAGGTTGAAATGACCTTCAAAACCTTGATGCATACTACTCAGTAATGTAAAAGGTTTTCGAAAATTGCCAACCGTGCCTACTCCTACCACGTCTTGGCCTGAACGATATAAACCGCAAGAAGCGTCCTAAAGTGTCATAGTTTATTCGCTCGAATAACACCGCTATTATTAACATCATATTATTCTTATCCGCAAAAAAATACTTCATACTCTGCGAATTATGGTATGGTATCTACTTGGAACGGGAAGAAACAAAAGATATATTGCTGGTCATGCCATCGCAGCAAATGTGGGACGTGATAAGCGTACACATAACACAGATTGTGACACGGTGACTTTTTTTTGCAAACAGAAGCAAAAACAGCCTGGATGGCCTGGGTCTTTATTCTTGAAACCGGGGAGCAGCATTTCCAGGAAAACGCTGGTTTTGTCTTTGATACCTATATTATCATTTTCATATTATTGAGAAAAGCGGAACACTCGTTCTCCTGAGAACGCTGCTCCCTTGTTTCAAGAATAAGGATCCTGGAGGAAGGAAGAGATCAATATAGCATTTGTATATTTGAGCAGTAAAAGTAGCTCCTATATTTTTCCTACTAACGTTTTAAAAGGCATAGAAAGATTCACTATACTTATGTACGACATAAACAGTGAATCTTTTATTGTGAACGAGACTCGAGAATCTCTTTCCTGCTCTGGAGAGCGACCACTCAGTTCAACTCCTCCGTCCCAAAGCGTTCTGGAACAAGCCAAAAGGGCAACTTATCAAGCTGGACAAATATGAGGCAGGTCGCTTTCTCCATCTCCCGAAAACTGGGGCTGGACCTTGATGAGCAAAAATAAATAAACAAATAAAAATGGAGTGAGCTGTCTTCTGTGTGGAAGGAGTTGCGAGGCATGGAAAAATGCAATTGTAAGACAGAATGCGATACTATGAGGTGTTCCTGTCACCACCTTAGTCTCAATTGTCTCCCTTGCACTCCTGCTTGTGATAGGTACTTGCAAAGGAAGTTATAAAAACAAAAAGGCTTGATTTATCTTAGATAATCACTTCAAATTAATAGGGAACTTGACCCTTTATTTTTTAGTTTTTGAGTTGATTCCTCAAAACGCTCGGAACTGATCTGTGTAAACAAAATTTGAATATCTCCAAAATCAACAAAGTTACAGCAGTGAAAAGACTAATACTATGTGACTTCATTCCGTAGTATCAGTATCGTATAATAAGTCAATGAGAGTAGAGACCGCAACATCATTTTCAAAAATTCGTGAGGATTGTATTTTTAAATAAATTCGAAAAATTTGGCAAAAATGTCATTAACTTATCTGTACCTTCCATTTATTCGATCGGGCCCTTGCTGGTAACTATCTGCAAGAAAAATTTACCGTTTTATAATCCCATTAGTTGTCGAATAACTGGCTGACCAATGGGATTACAGAGTGTTGACAGTTTATCAGAAGGTGAATAAACCGGCGCCCAATGTAATGATTGTTATTTCATGTAAATCCCTATTCACTGCAAAAAGTTTGTTGACTTTAGCGCATAGGCGAGCGAAAGCGAACGTGAAACACGCTACTAGCATGTTTCACTTTCGCATGCCTATTCACGATTTTTGAAGGGGAAGAATGAAAAGTTTAATACATTACACGCTGCAAAAGCCCTTTTAGGTGCTCGGAAATTTCAAATAGCCTCGGCTGCGCTTCGCTTCGCCTCGGATATTCGAATACTACTCGCACCTAAAAGTACGCTTTTGCAGCCTGGAATGTAAATAACTATTTTTGAAATCCTTATCCTCAAATTATTTACAACAAAATATATTTATCGATATTTTTCAAGGTGAATTGACGTTATCGGTCTAAAACTATATTTTTTGAAATTATCTCTCTCAAATTATAAAAATAAACTATAATCATGCCTGCATTGCTAAGACAAACTTAACTTTGAAACTTTGGCAGCTATTTTCAAAAAAATAATTTTTTGACCCTAATTGACTTTTTTGAGGCCATCCAAAGATCACAGCGGTCTAAAACTTATTTTTTTATTATTCTGCGTCCCTGAAATATATAGACTAGAGTATAATCATGCTTGTCTACCCAGAATAAAAATTAAAATTAAAAAATTGACCGCCATTTTGAAAAAATTGCGATTTTTTAGTGCCAATGAGAAAAGTCGATGGGTCCTCGACTCAAATCGATTAAAATGGTCTACTTAGCAACTGTGCCAAAGTTCATGCTTGTATCATCAAATGGCGTTTTTTTTTCGCTAAGCAACCGTACCTAATACTATGAGCATCTACATCTCCAAAAAAAGGCATTAATTAGATTAATTAATGAATCAGATTAATTAATGAAATTAGATTAGATTTAGAAATGACCAAAAATCCATTTTCTGAAAAAGAAAGGATTTTTAATCATTAATACCAAAGAAGTCTACTTTATCGCACACTATTCGGTAATGTAACTTTACCGCATAGTGTGCGGTAAAGTGCTACTTTCCATTTGCAAATAAGTGCGGTAGAGTGCACTTTACCGCACGCTCGTAGGTAAATAACATTTTCGACTATGTTTCCCTTTTTTTATCGAACCGTAGACTCAAAATTTTTGAAAAAAAAAACAAGAAATCCAAAAAAGTCGAAAAGACAAGAACCGAAAAAGTCGTAGATAACAGTTTCGACTATATTTGACTTTTTCTATCAAACATTTCAGTCAGTTTCGAAAAAAAAAAAAAACATAAAAATCGAAAGAGTCGGAAATAATACTTCCACTACATTTTCATCTTTTCTAAACAATGGAGTCACAGTTTCAAAATAAACAATAAAACCAAAAAAGTCGTAGATAACATTTTCGACTATATTTCACTTTCTTTATCGAACGGTACTGTCGAAAGTTTTTGAAAGAACAAGAAATCCAAAAAATTCGTAGATAATATTTTCGACCATATTTCATTTTTTCCATCCAACATTAAATAAATATAAATAAATAATCTTTATTCAGGTTTAAATATTTTTTTACAATAATTTTTTTTTTCTTTCACAATACATGTATTTTGTATTTAAAAATTATTTTGTTGGCACCTAGAGGTTTAATACCTCTGTATGCACCAAGTATATTCTTAACTATTTATAATATAATTTATAATATAATATATAATAACATTAGAGTCAAAGTTTGGAAAAAAAAAACATGAAAGTCGAGAAAGTCGTAGATAACATTTTCGACTATATTTGACTGGTAGGAAAAAGTGAATGTCACCCCCCAACTAACTTTTTCATTTGACGTTTTTGTCAGAAGTGTTAAATACAAAAGTTTTGAGAAATTGTTAAATTTTTTTAACTAAGTCAGTTTTAAACATTAGAGGGTGCGTCAAAAAAGTGTAGCGGAGCGAAGTTGTATTTTTTTAAATGGAAGACCACGAATATTGTGCGCTATTTATTAGTCTCCTTCAACCTGATTTCAACGATATATGGTTTGATATGTTTAGCTCACTGTTTATCTCCTATAGTTATACAGAAAAACGCGAAAATCTCTTCCTAGGTTTCTCATGTCATTTTTTTTTACCTTTTTTTAATAATAATAATAACTCAAACAGCTGGATTTATTGTAATATTTATTTGACCTTATAAATTAGTGGATAAAATTTGTACAATAATCCGTTTATAACAATTTTTTTCTAAAGCTTAAATGGTATAATTTTTCTTTCTACACTTTTTTGGCGCATCCTGTATGCCTAAAACTGACTAATGGCGTTTCCGATTGGTCAATTAGGTTCGCACTGACTTGTATTTGCATCCTTTTAATCGACCTGTAAAAGAAAAAGACAGAAATTAAAAAAATTGCACTAGTTCCGCACTAAATCTACCCAATCGAAAACGCCATTAAGTTAAAAACTTTTGTCAGCACACACCGTAATTTTTTTCTATCATACATTGGGCCCATTGGGGTCACAGTTTAAAATGCGCTGCCGAGTATAGCAGCATTGGCTATATATCTATCTCGCACTGCTGACTGTTTCTTTCTCTCGCTTGGCTGAACTCGACTCGAACCGGCCTAATAAGCATTAACAATTCGGGCGTGACAGGCCAATCTCATTCAATACCCAAAAAAAACTTTTTGCTGGATGCGCCTAAGGAAGTTTTCAGTAGTAATAGCCCAAGGATATTGATAATTGTCCGAAAAAAATTTATTACAGATTTCGAAAGCTTGTTGCTTGAAAACAGTCCGCCGCGTGAGCGGAAGTCTGTTTTCTATAAGCAACAAGATTGAGAAAGTTGTTATGAAATTTTTGAGCATTTATCAATGTTCGAATGTTATTCGGATAGAATTTTTTTTGACAGCAATGTCGAGGCTGTCATAAAGTGAAAACAACCCTAGGCCTGTTTTCAGTATAATTTTGACATGATAAGGTGCTTTGTGTCACATGACGATAAATAACAAAATTTAACTGGCTGTTGGAACTGTCAAAAAATTTTCGGGGGTAATAGGACAAGTGCATCAAATTACCGATAATTTTGGATGAAAGCGTGTTTTCTAAAAACTGCAAGAATTGATTTTCATATATTTTGCGAAAGATCCCGAAACCGAAGGTTCTTTTAGAAAATATGTAAATGAACGAATGCAGTTTTCCAAGAAAACACGCTTGAACGCAACTTATCGGTACATGCTGGGCAATTATCGCTGTAAGTTTTCAATAATTACATTCCTCTTATGCGATTACTTACACATGAGGGAAATATTCACTTCAAGAATGATTACTATTTCACAGGTTGTAGATACTCCCCAGAAGCATCTCTACACCAGCAGTCCATTTTCCGAATTTCTCTCCTTGGATATGCGTCCTCCCCCACCAGGTGAGCCTCCAGTTAGGCCCAACCCCAACGCTCCCACCGACAACGACGTAAAAGTAAGCTCGCACAGAAAAGAAGCTACCTATCTTTGGGTTATTGGTCCAGTGATAGCCGCAGTCCTCTTATGCTATATCCTAGTAATTTTGTTCATACTCCGTCGTAGAAGACAACCGTGCAAGGCTTCCGATCAGGTGGCCATCACCAAGCCTTCAATTCCTGCCATGAAAAGCAGCCTAGCTCCTAGTGACCCCGTGGAACAGAGACGATTAAACTTCCAAACCCTAGCTATGATCTCGCACCCTCCTATTCATGTGTCGGACCTTGCCATTCACATCGAACGATTGAAGGCCAACGACAATCTCAAGTTCTCACAGGAATACGAGAGTATAGAGCCCGGTCAAACGTTTACGTGGGAGTTTTCCAATATGGACGTCAATAAACCAAAGAATAGATACGCTAACGTAATTTCCTATGATCATAGTCGCGTGATACTGCCCACTGAAGATAAACAAAAAGGTTTCAATTACATTAATGCCAATTACTGTGATGGTTACAGAAAGCACAACGCCTACGTAGCGACGCAAGGACCTCTACCGGAAACTTTTGCCGATTTTTGGAGGATGTGCTGGGAATTGAAATCGGCCACGGTGGTGATGATAACAAAGCTCGAGGAACGAACCAGGATCAAGTGTGATCAGTACTGGCCGACGAGAGGCACTGAACTCTACGGCTCGATGTCCGTGACCATATCGGATGTGCAAGAGCTGGCCACTTATTGCATACGATCCTTCCAAATACGGAAAAAGGGTTACTCGGATACTAGGGAGGTGAAACAGTTCCAGTTTACCGCTTGGCCTGAACATGGAGTTCCAGACCATCCAGCTTCTTTCTTGCAATTTCTGAGGCGGGTGCGCAGTTTGAATTCGATAGAAGCCGGACCGATTTTGGTGCACTGCTCCGCGGGCGTGGGAAGGACGGGCTGTTTTATCGTCATCGACTCTATGCTGGAACGGATGAACCATGAAAGGACTGTGGATGTTTACGGCCATGTTACTTGTCTTCGGGCCCAGAGGAATTATATGGTGCAAACCGAGGACCAGTACATGTTTATTCACGATTCGCTTTTGGAGGTAAGCTTCGATATCTGGGATGATTTGGGTGAATTATTCTAAAATACTCTTTCGGAATAACAAAATAATATAGAAAAATGGAAAACACCCCCACAGAATGTCATTTTTTCCGAAAAACTAGCCTGTGTCCAGCATGATTATTAATGGGATGTGTGTTGAAGTGTCCACTATAAATTTGATTGGATTTTTTCAGGCTTTCATTTGTGGTGCAACTGAGGTACCGACCCGAAACTTGTACCTCCACATCCACAAACTGATGCAGCTTCAACTGGGCGAGAATATCACCGGCTTGGAACACGAATTTAAAAAGCTAAGCAACATCAAGACTGTTTCTTCATGTTTTGTCACTGCAAACTTACCTTGCAATAAGCATAAAAATAGGTACCTAAGCACATCAGCGCAGCTTCGTTGACATTTTTGTTACCAAACTAATTTTTTGCTTTCAGATTAGTACATATCCTACCTTATGACAGCACGCGGGTTTGTCTGCAACCGATAAAAAATATGGAAGGATCTGATTATATAAACGGTAGCTTTATCGATGGCTATAGGTATCACAAAGCGTACATTGCCACACAAGGCCCGTTATCCGACACCACTAACGATTTGTGGCGTATGCTTTGGGAACAAAATTCTACTATCATCGTAATGCTGACTAAACTTAAGGAAATGGGAAGAGTAAGGATTGTAAGTGATATTGTTTATTAGTAAATACCTGAATATTTTCATGCAGGAAAAGTGTCATCAATATTGGCCGAGCGACCGATCAGTCCATTACGGATTCTACGTCGTGGATCCGATAGCCGAATACAATATGCCGCAGTATATTTTGCGAGAAGTTAAAGTTACGGACGCGCGGGACGGATCTTCGAGAACGATGCGTCAGTTCCAGTTTACTGAATGGCCCGAACAAGGGGTACCCAAGTCCCGGGACGGTTTCATTGATTTTATCGGACAGGTGCATAAGACCAAGGAGCAGTTCGGACAAGAAGGACCTATAACTGTGCATTGCAGGTGAGGTTTTTCGAGTAGGCAGGAGACCGGACGAAACGTCTATGTCAATTCGTCGTACGTCAATTCGTCGTACGTCAATTCGCCGTAAACTCAATTCGTCGTACACGTCAATTCGCCGTAGAGTCAATTCGTCGTATACGTCAACGTATACATCAGACATTCCCAAACTAAACATGATAAACCGTCTATTTTTGGTAAGTTTGCAATTTTAATCACACATCACATTGCAAACTAACCCAAACTAACCGAGTTATTATCGGTTAGTTTGATAATTTCTGATATAAAATTGCAAACCATTAACCATTGGCTACCACATGACTCACCAGTGATGCATAAGATTCAGTTGCTTTCATGCCGACCGTCGTTTGACCCAATCTACCCCAATACAATGTTACTTTACAACAAATTGACGTATATGGCGAAATGAATTTGAGGTGAATTGACGTAGGTATACGACGTATTGACTTTACAGCGAAATGACGTATATGAAGAATTGACTTTACGAAGAATTGACGTATAAGACGAATTGACGTATACGACGAACTGACTCCACGAAGAATTAACGTACGACGAATTGGCATACGACGAATTGACGTACGACAGATTAATTTACGACGAGTTGACGGTGACCCTTTTTAATCGGTTCGGAAATGCTTTTTTCATCGAATCGTTTCATCCTTCTTTTTTAGTATACACTTTTGATGAAACCGAATTGAAAGGCAAACGCTTATCACTAATGTTTCCCCGAAGTAGATCATCAAAAGTCACAAATGAAAATGAGCCTTTAATGTACAAATATATTTTTTCGTGCAGTCTTTCCTTTTTCAGTCTAATCTAGATCTATATTTTTGAATGGTTCGCTGTTCTCAATTTCACAGTCTTTTATCTTCCAACTGATTCCAATATAATTAACCATCCAAGACCCTTTTTTTTTTAGTTATACATGTAAACCCATACTTTGTGAGTGGCCTGCTAACATCAAGTCCTACAACTTTTTCCTCTACGACTTTTCTCGGAAATGTCACATATGCGCGCATGCGACTCGCGAACATGTTGATCTGACATAGCTATGTTTCCTGATACATGTAAATCTAATTTTACGAATAATGTTTGATTTTTATGTCTAATTCACGGAACTCAACTTGGCCGACAAAAATAATGGCAAATTGGGGTAGTCCGACACCCCCAAAATGTCGATCTGACGAGGTTATGTTTCTTGATACATGTAAATCTAATTTTACGAATAATGTTTGATTTTTTTGTCTAAATCACGGAAATCAACTTGGCCGACAAAAATAATGACAAATTGGGGGAGTCCGATACCCCCAAAATGTCGATCTGACGCGGTTATGTTTCCTGATACATGTAAGTCTCATTACATTTTTTTTTTCGATCTTAAATTAGCTCTATATTGTAAAGAAATGTGTGTCCGACAAAAAAAATGGCAAAAATTTGCAAAAAATAATACATAATCGAAAAAATATCAACAGCAAAGATACATTTTATTGTAATCGGTAATTAATGTACTATAGACTACTTTAACTTATGAAAAATATTGAAAAGTTTAAAAATTATTAAAAATAAAACTCTTTATCTGATAATTTATACCTATGCTACTTACTGACTTAATGGTCTTGCTCTTTCATATACAGGATGTCCGGAAACAGCGTAAAAACTCTTGACTATGTAATGGAGGACTTTGGTTGTCAGATCAGTTTTTCTTGTAATTTAAAGATTTTGCAATTTTTATAATGCGTTTTAAAGGCTAACAACAAATTTGTATAAACCATTATGTTATGAATCAACGAAAGATACCTACCACTTCCACATTCACTTCTTAATATTATTACCAAAAATAGCCCAGAAGGATTTTTTTTAAATATTTTTTTAGGGTTATTCGAAGAATCCCCGGATCCCCTATTACGTGGTGTAATGAGAGCTTTGATCTAGATATTGATCTAGATATAGAGCGCATTATTGACAGATTTGCTAGCCAAAACGAAAACTTGATTTTGTCCTGTAAATGTATACAAAATTTAGTTGGTAAGTTTATTAATTTTCATTTCATCTATAATTATCGTTATCAGGATTTTAATGTTGCTGCTGTTAATGTATTATTTACATTGACAGTAATGCATAACTTTCAGCTGTATGGCAAGTACTTTTTCATTTTGCGCCCCCCCCTCAAGTAAATCCTGGGACCGCGCCTGGTAAGACACAAGTCTTGACTCCTTTTGTATTAACATTTTCAAATTAGAAATGATGACGTCAAGTTTCAAGACATTGGCTTAAGCATGGGTCACTCTCTCTGGTTACCAGAATTTGAATTTGTGTTCATCATATCCTGAAACTTCAAAAATTGTCATTCAAATCAGCATGAGCATGCAATATAACGTGATCATTATATAATATATAAGGCGCTTTCTTTTTCCCATCGATCTATTCAACATTATCAGTCAGTTATTCCAAATTCTTCTTCTTCTAGTCCTAACTTTATTTCCTGTCGGACAAGACTAATTTAGCATTCAGAAAACGTTATTTGATCAAGACTTACTTTTGTCCGACATACATGCAGTGTTGCCAACTCATGGGATTTGGAAATACCTAGATTTGCAAAAAAATATCCCTAGAATTCCCTAGAATTTATTTTTTTCAAATTCATTTTAGAATTATTATAACAGAGCCTATAATAATTGTAATATGTAATGTATACTTGCAATTTACAAGAAAAAAAATCAAATTTTCAAAACTAATCATTATTGCGACTCAAGTCTTTAAAAAACAACATAGAATTTCCAAAAACAATAAAATATTGTTATGACGTCACTGGTGGGGTGGCGACAGTAGCTTTGTTTTGGATCGAAATTTGGAAAGGTTCTGAGATTGCGCAGAACTGCTTGCGCACAAAAAATAATTGTGGACTGTTCCAATACTAGTTCTGGACAGATTCGGAACCAAAAAAACCAAAACACGCCGCAAATCACAAAATTCTGAAACAGTTCCCCCTTGAGACCAAGAATTGAGAGAACCGTTCTAGATCATCCCAGAATTGTTCTTAAATAGTTCTAGATAAACCAAAACACTGTCAAAACAGTTCGATTACGATTCTGAAATAATGAAAACGCGTTTTTTAAAATGCGCATGTGCAGAATGATTCCGAACTAGTTTTGAGTGAAACCAAAACAAAGCTAGTGACGACAGACTCTTAACAACTGTCTTCTGATTCGACGCGATTGTTGAGGGAGTCCCCCATACACATCACTTGGCATCACGTTATACGAAAGGCAAAGAGCACTTCACAACATACAAAAATGGGACGGTTAGAAGTTGTATGTGATTACTGAAATGAACCAATAATAAGGTCACTTCCGATTTTTTAAAGAATATACCGGGTGTGTTTCAAAACCCGCTCACCCCTATAAATTTTTATTTTTCCAGATAAACAAATGAAATTTGGTGTATTTATTTATGACCCAGATGTGCATTATTTGACTTATTTAATTTTTTACTATCACTTCCGGTTTGACCGGAAGTGACCCTAACTTTCTTATTTTAAATGAGACGCTAGGTATATTTTTCCTCATTTTAATAGAAAACTACATTACGAGTACAATGACACCTCATTTGTCACTTTTTGACATATCATCATCACCAAATTATTTAAATTTTTACTTCTAAATCTAGGGCACCATGAATAAGTCAAAATGCTTAATTTTGCTCCTAGGAACATGGGAAAATTTGTTTTGATCTTATTTTGTATTTTATATCCTCTACAGACTCATTTAAAGATAGTAGAAGCGCATTTTTAGAATTATATCAGTTTTTTCAAATGGAAAGGGTATAGCTCATGAGCATGTTCCAAAAGAGCGTTTTCTAACGAGCAATTCAGTACCACACAATCGCTAGTTCATCACTCAAATTAAGAATTTTTCTAGCATTCTAAATATTTCTGGATAAACTAGCGATTGTGTGGTACTGAATTGTTTGTTAGAAAATGCTCTTTCGAAATATGCTAATGAGCCATACCTACCCTTTCCATTTGAAAAAATAATAATAAATGCGCTGCTACAAACTTTAAATGAACCTTTAGAGGATATACAATTCAAAATAAGCTCAAAACAAATTCTCCCATATTTCTAGGAGCAAAATTAAGCATTTTAACTTATTCATGGCGCTCTAGATTAAAAAGTAAAAATTTAAATAATGCGGAGGTGAAATGTCAAAAAGTGACAAATGAGGTGTCATTGTACTCGTAATGTAGTTTTCTATTGAAATGAGGAAAAATTTACCTGTCATCTCATTTAAAATAAGGAAGTTAGGGTCACTTCCGGTCAACCCGGAAGTGATAGTAAAAAATTGAATACGTCAAATAATGCACATCCGGGTCATAAATAAACACACCAAATTTCATTTGTTTATTTGAAAAAATAAAAAAGTTATAGGGGTGAGCGGGTTTTGAAAAACACCCGGTATAATATGTATTAATTTTTTTTTTAATTTATTAAATTGTAGAAAAATTAAGAATATCAGAAAACCCCCTAGAATTTCCCTATATCCCTAGACAATTTTTTTTGCATATTTATCCCTAGAATTAGGGACAAATCCCTAGAGTTGGCATCACTGCATACATGTATCAGGAAACATAACCTCGTCAGATCGACATTTTGGGGGTATCGGACTCGCCCAATTTGCCATTATTTTTGTCGGCCAAGTTGATTTCCATGATTTAGACATAAAAATCAAACATTATTCGTAAAATTGGATTTACATGTGTCAAGAAACATAACCTCGTCAGATCGACATTTTGGGGGTGTCGGACTTCCCCAATTTGCCATTATTTTTGTCGGCCAAGTTGATTTCCGTGATTTAGACATAAAAATCAAACATTATTTGTAAAATTAGATTTACATGTATCAGAAAACATAGCTACGTCGGATCGGCATGTTTGCGAGTCGCCTGCGCGCATACGTGCCATTTCCGAGAAAAGTCGTAGAGGAAAAAGTTGTCGGACTTGAAGTAAGCAAG